AGCCATCTGCAACAAGAGAAATACAAATTATTCCCACTTCTTTGTCTTTTTAGGCAGCACCTTTTTTTTTTTTTTTTTTTTTTAAAAAAAAAAAGGAACTCCTTTACCTTAGTAGCCAGGGGAAATAATTAATGCATTTCTGCAGTGCAGCTGTTAGCAGCTTGGTGTGAGGCTCTGTGGGCTCCATGGCTGTTCACACTCCCCCCAGCTCACTGAATAAATACCACCCACCCTTAACGCAGGTTTCAGAAGGGTTTCAGCTCAACCCGGGGCTTTGGACGTCATGATCCCCAGTCTCCCTGGGTGTAATTTCTGTGGGAAAAAGTTACTTTGCTAGGGAGGTAGGTACTTTTCATTTCCAGCATCGTGTTGATACTGTTCGGCAGGGCGAGCTGTGGTCTGGGCTGCAACTGGAGCTGCATCTGCTGCTCTGGGAATGCCAAGCCTTGCATCTGATCTGGAATGCCAATGAGCCCATATAAAGCTGTTAATGTCTGTGTGAGGTTTTTTAGCCCTCATTACCAACCTGATAGAAAGATAATTCTCAGCTGCTGTTCCAACCTGTGGGATTTTACCCACTTAATTAATTTTCTTTCTTGTTAAAGAAGATTTTTTTTTTTTTTTTTAATGCACAAGAAGCTGTGCTCGACTTGCTTTTGAGGGACTCTTCTCATGTCTATATCAAAGGCACGGAGGCCCCAGAAACTTGTGTATGAGCCCCAGGGGCAGCGTGCCTCTGCAAGGCTGAGCTGGGAAGCTTTGCCTCATGTGCCAAGGGCGGGATGCAGCAGGGCAGCCACCTCCATGCAGCAGCGGGGACCCTGCTGCCCTTCCCGGCTCCCCCCTTTTTCCACCTCTCAGTAATAAAATGGAAGCTTGTGATGTGACCCAAGGGTGACAAACTGCACGCCGAATGCCCGCTGAGAGTTAAAAGTGCCAGCCCACACCACCCTCCCCAACCTTTCAGCATGTCAGCAAGCTGTCTGTGTAAATAAATGTACATATCAAACAATAAGCAGATGCCTTTTTAACATGCACTGTTTCAGGCTGAGATATTCCTTTCTGGTGCTGCTCATCTCTGCATCTGTCAAGTTAATGCCAACTCCGCAGCTCCCTTTCAGTTGTTTTTAATGCACAGAGATTTGTGTTGTGGTAAGTGTAAAATATAATGAGGAATTGGCTTGTTTTACATCTGTTTTGGTGTTACTTGTGATTTATAAAATGTTAAATGTGAACACTTCTGGGTGCCTCCCATCTCTGCATAAGTAAATAGTGCAAACTCTTGTTCCTTATGCTCGATTAAGTAGCTTTCTGCAAGGATACATATGATTATACAAGTATATGGGGATGGAAAAAAAAAAGTCATTTGCAAAACATACCACCTCTAGGGCCCCAAAGTGAACAAACACTGAATTGGGGAAAAGGCTGTGATCAGGGTTGGATTGGAAAAAAAAAAAAAAACAAAACAAAACAACCCAAAACTTCATTCCAGCAGAGTCTGTTGTACTCCTTAAATCAAACCAGACTCGGGAGGCGCAGAGTCCAAAGCCCTCGGGCTGTGTCTTAGTGCAGTTTTTCGGAAGGGACACCCAGGAGCTGCTAGGCTGGGTCAGATCCTGCCTGATCCAGGGTCCTGCCTCCGATAGCCAGCAGTGACGAGGGAGATTGGAAGACCAGGGCAGATGATCAGGAGAAATTTCACGTGAGGCTTCTGTTTTTGCTTTCATATTAAAAATGCATTGAGCCTAGATGACCCATAATCTATCTCTGTCCCTCTGCACCAGCCTCAGAGAAGGTCCCTGGTTTTTATTGTCCCTCCCCATTTCTCACACATGCTGTTGCTTTTGCTGTAGTCAGATGCAAGGGAATCATGCTAATTAAAAAAGAAAAAAAAAATCAGACTGCTTATGCAGGCACCAAGTCTTGAAGACAGCTTTGTCAGGATTTTCTGGGGTCTGCTGAGAGAATGGGAAATATTCCCGCTGCCTGAGATGCTCCGAATTGGATTAGATAGAAACAAAGCCGGGGGAGGGGAGAGGCATGATCCTCCTCTGGAGACGAGGATTTAGGTGACCTATGATATCTTCTTTTTCTTACTGCTCCTTGAATAGGGATGATTGAAATCTCTCATCTGAGCATGTATGCACACAAGACAAAATGCAATATTAGCGACCCTAAATGTATTAGAGCTCTCTGCTGCTGCTCACAGCGGTACGTCAGCTGGAATAGTAATAGGGAATGAATGTTTTTTGCGTACAAGGAAAACACTGTTCTTCCATAATAGAAAGGGAAAATTGGCACAAAAATTGCCTTTGAATCACATTTTTGATGACTCTTACTAGCTTGTGCACCTGCCTGTGACACTTTCCATCTCGCGGTTTCAGAACACTGTACAAAAACAAATAAATGAATCTTCTTTTTCTGCCTGTCCCCACAAGCTGGGAGTTACTGTCCAATAATGTCTGAAAGGACTAGGACCGAGTTCAGTGGGAAGGTTTCTGTTAGGCAGCAGACACTTTGTCGTGTGCCGAAATATGGACGTATGCATTTTTCTACATGCAAGCGCTTGCACCTGTGAAGTACTTGCCCGCCCCCTTTTAAGAAGCCAGAATGTGGTCTGTATGTGTGTATTTGAAATGCTGCGCTGTGCAGAGCAGGGGGGAGGCCTGTAAAAAAAGAACATTAACAGAAGGATGAACCTCAGGTGAAAACATGGGAGTCCTCTGGGATGTGGGCAAGGAGAACATCTGCGCGGGTACCTGTTGGGTGGGCCCATGCTCAGCTCAGCAGACCACACTGCTCTTCTGGCACATGAAATGAATTCTCAGGGTGCAGACTGCCCTCGGCTGTAGCTCTTGGGCTGGACACAGCATGCTGCAGCACTCCTGCGTCCCGCTGAGCCCTCTGCCTTTTCTGGGGACGTGCGACAGAGCCCTGCAGCAGAGGGCTGATACCCGCGTGCACGACAGGCGTTTCCTGCCACATGCTCTGGTGTGACATTAGCACTTCCCAGCCACCTTGTTAGTGGCATTGTAATCTGCGGGATAGCCCAAAAATGCTAGCTCAGCTCAATGTGGATGTCTTCTCCAGACAGCACTACAGCAAATGGCACCTCGAGGTGTCTGGCTGCGGCCTGTCTCAGCGTCTCATGGGACTGCTGGATGGACTTGCTGACAGGACCTCGTCCCCCAGCTTTTCATCTCCCCCTGCAGCTGCTGTTAAACTCTGGTGGAGCAGCTGATGCTCCAGGTGTGCATGCACACAGCTGCCATGGGCTTTGGGATGTCGGAGGGGCTGGACATGGCAAAGGGCTTCATTTTCAAAAGGGAGCAAAGACGCGAGGTAGACTGGGAAGGAGAGGAGAGGTGGTGCTATGAAATGGATTTGCGTGGCGCCAGCTTCGTATCTGAATTGGAGCTGTCAGGGAGAACGAGATCCAGACTCGGTGCTGTTCTCTGGAGAGAAGCACTTAGGGAGAGATTGCTCTGTTAAGCGCTGGCTCCACCTCTCTGCCCCACGTCTGGCTGACTTTGGCAAGGGGAAAACTGACAAGATCTGGCACGAGCCATCCTCCCTTCCCGCTGGCCTTCCCTGCCTTTCTCCAGGCTCCGATTTGCCTTCTCTTGCTTACTGCTTTTACCACCTGAGCATCTCCCCCTGGACCCTCCTCCTCCTGGCTCTGTTGCTGTCTTGGTTCCCCTCACCACATTCAGGTGTGCAGGGAAGAGATAATCTTTAACAGGGTAGGAAGAAGCGATTAAGGCAAGGTCACAATCACCTCCTTGAACCCGGTACTGAGGTATGTGTCTTATGTGTGTCATTGCTGTTTCTGACAGGTTGACCATCCTGGATCCCTGCTCTAGGGACTTCAAGCAAGGATCCTGACTGATGCGTGTTTCATACGACCCGACTTTTTGAGGCAAACAAGCAGTGCTCTGAAGGCCTGTCCCCTCAAAGCAGCACACAGGTAAGACAGGCGGTGCTGATGATGCTCAGACTGCTGCTGCTGGGCTCTGGCCATGCTGGGGCTTGCTGCAGTGGAGTAGGCAAAGGACTTGTTCCTTTCAGTTGGCTCAAGAGAGGTTTTGTCACCTCTGCCTGACAGATATGTCAGGGTGAAACAGCAGAGGGAATGTTTTTCATCAAAAATGTACTTTCAGCGGATCAAGACTGCTCATACAGTTGAGTTAAACTTTTTGAGAAAAGGAAGAAAAGAAGCACGTATGGGGGAGAGGGTTTAAGTAAGAAATTAATTAAATTGTTTAGTTTTTGACTGGGCAAGATGTCTCAGGATCAAAAGTGAAAAGAAAAAAAAACCAAACAGATTGCCCCTCTAGTTCTGATTGCAATGACTCATGGCAACCAGATCTAGAAAAGCAGAGGCCCTTTAGTCCAAACCCTTAATCCCCTACTAGTATGAAACATTGTTCCCAGCAGTGCCTACCAGTCCTGTTTTAAATGATGGGATTTTTCCCTTGTCCCCTTGGGATACTATTCCACAGTCTAATAGAATTAATCTGCTTACTTGTCTTTCAACCCCTGACCACTGCAGATGCAATTAGTAGTAGGCGATGGGAGGATTCTGTTTCCTATGCTGTATTACGAAGGCTTAGGGCTGTATTGTGTTAAACCAGACATCAGTAGCAAGCATGTATGCAAGAGTGTGGCTTATCTGTCAGTACTCATTACAGCCCCATAAACGTCTCTGAACTACAGAGTTCTCAGACTCACAGGAGCTTTTCTACAGTCATAATTCAGGATCTGATAAGGCACAGACTAATGTATTTGAATGCCTGTGAGAAAGACTGTGTGATTGGAAACTGAAGTGAAATGCAGTCATATGCTGCTTGTGCTAGAGACTCTCTGAGGCAATTTAGGTGTCTATTTCTGGAGCATTTGCTGGCCTCACTCTTAATTTCTCTCATGGACTAGCTGGTAGGATCTATGTGAAATAGCTTTTTGCTGTGTACCGTGCTGCTGGAGGCACCACTACACCTTTCCAGCTGTGAATTTCAGGACTTCCTTAGATAAACATTGTGGGCTTCTGCTGACATTTACTGAGAGGCTCTGGTTGAATGACTAGCTGAATACAATGTCAAATAAATTGGAGCTGGAATATTGTAGCTTCTCTTATTTAGTCAATATCTCTGCTCATCACAAAGTTGAGCTTCTGTCTGTAGCAATTCACCTATTTTTCTCCTTAAATTTGGAAAAGTTCTAGTAGCAAGAGCTGTCATTTATTTTCCAAAGCACATGGATGGGATTTGGACCTGTTTACACATAGAGGCCACGGCACCAGCTGACCTGTACAAACTGTTTGGGTGGACGCTTGGATTCATCCACCCCAAAAGCAAATTAAAACACACATAGTAATAGTGTAAGTTGCTACAGTGTAATTGCTGGTGGATGTTTGACCCAGACTGCAATGTGAAGCAAGGCCAGGGGTTGTGAAAAAAATGCTTACATGCCAGCATTCCACATGGGCTGCTCCAGGGTACTGAGGGAGACATTTACAATCCCGTTCCTCCTCCCTGCCCATAAATCCCTGATTTTAATGTGCCGTAGCTTTTCTGGACTATTCCTCAAATAGAAAGCTTAAATATAAGCATAGTCACTGGACCGGCGTTTCATCATCAAGATAAGTTAGTTAAGCCTATTAAAATTTGACTAGGTCGCCTGTGTTTGTCAGATCAGAATTTCTTAAACACTGAAGATCAAGTCGCAAAGCTTTGATGTGTTCAGTGAGTCCAGTGCTAATTTGCCCATTGTTTTTAATCAGTTGAAATTCTTTTCCAGCTTGGCGCTTGGCTGCTTCATGTGGTTTTGTAGCATACTTCAAGGATGGGGAGGTGGTGACTGAAGCAAGGTGTAATGATCCATAGCACATTAGATCATCTGCAGCTTATGCTCCCTGTCCCTGCTTTGCCAGGCAAGCTTTATTCCAGTGAAAGTGTCAGTAAACCCAAGGCAAAAAGGTACCATTTCTCCTCCACTCTTCCCTTTTTCTTTCCCTTGAAAGTTTATCTTGCTGCTTGCTTTTTAAAAGCTCTGTGTTAGCTGGGGGGCTGTGAAGTAAAAGGCATGCTTTAAATACAGATGCTGGTGATAGTCCTTTCAAAAGCTGCATTTCTCAAGCTGGGAGCTATTGACCCCTTTCAGTGCAGTCACAAAGAAATCCAAGAGGAAATGGAGGGTGAGGGCCAGCAGGGAATATATATATATATAATTTTTCCCCCCAAGTTGTCTTCTTACTCTACCCCCTGCCAGACTGGCTATTGTGTGAGACTCCGCATGGGATACCAGTTGCCGAATAAGGAGAATAGCATCATGCTACATTCTTTCTAAAAATTGATTTTTTACAGTTGCCTTTTTTTTTTCCCTTGCTGAAAGTGTTTCTGCTTTTGTGGAAGATCTGGGCAAAAGGACAGCAGTAGGCTCCAGAACACGTGTATACAGTCTCAGACTGTGCAAAAGATTTTGCTTTGGCTTTTGTCACAGCTTAGGTGATTAGGCAAAGCAGCAACAGCAAATGAGGTTCAGCTACTATGAGAGCAGAGGATGCTAGGGTGTATTTTCTTGCATCTTGAATGCAGTAATACTCCCCAGTAGTTTTTTGATTTTTCTTGCTTAAGAGGATGCTCAGGCAGTGGGACAGAGTCTTCCAGTGTCTCCTCTGCATCCTTCTTCAACCACAACCTACTTTTTATTGAGTGTATGCTTCCAGTCCTGATGCAAACACACAGACCTTACAAGTTGACCCTACCTTTTGCTCCCATGGTCTTCCCTGGAGAATTTCAATGCTTGAAGTTTTGAAAGGTGAAAATGTCTTCCCACCAGAATTTTGTGATTTGGGACAAAAACGGGACCACTGATCTGGGGCTTCCGTTCCTCCCTGTTGCATGAAAACATGGTTTATGAGCTAACCCTGACTGCACTGTGTTAGATGAGGACATGGGTTTTGTTTCCTGGTGCAGCAGTCATTTGTTAATGAACAGAAACTATGCACATCGTGGAAATAAGGCTCAACTCCAAGCAAATCTAGTAAGGGGCTTGCACAAAGGAACAGCTGGAGCAATGTGAGCGTGAATCCCATGACTCCAGAAAGCAGAAGCAGGGTCTAGAGTGGGAAAAGCACAGCTCCAGGAGCTAGGAACAGAGCCAGCTCCTGGAGAGGAGTGTGGCTTTGTGCGTGCACATAGGAGCTGGCGACTCATCTTCTTGTATCCTCTCCTATCAGTAATTGGGATACAGTCTTTAGAGCTGCTCCCTGTGGTTGCCAGCACTTCTGGCTCCCTGTGATGCCCTATAAAAATCTGCTGTTTCTCCTAGAAGGAATCTGTTGATTCTCCCTACAAAAATCTGTTCAGCAACCAGTAATGTAACAGACTTCCTAGAAAATAAAATTAAAAAAAAAAATAAGAAAATAAAAGAAAAAAAAAACAACAAGCAAACAAAAAGAACACTCCCTCTTAGGAGCAGCAGCAGCAAATCTGGGGGCTCATTTACCACAGTCGTGTCATGATTCTCAATCTGTGTTATGCTGAAGTGTGTTCACAGCAGTAGAAAAAAATACTTTCTATTAACGCTTTCTCTTTTTCAGAAAATTAATTGTTTGATATCACCAAGGACTGTGTATGCATTGGAAACCAACTCGTTCTTTTAAAATGTTGAGCAGTTGGACAACTTTTAAAGAAACTGCAATTTTGCAAAAATGGCATAAGGACTTTTTTAAAGATTCATTGTTTTTTATAAAAGCCTAGAAAATGGAGCTGTAATGACCAAAGAAAGCATATGTCATATTTGGGAAGTTCTGATTTTCTATCATTTCTCTTCATCCTGCCAGTTGAATTGTTTGCTCACATGTCTTTGCAAAATTAGTCTCCCAGATAATCTTCCCTTAATTTGGTGGCTCCCAAACGCTGCCCACTGAGGTATCAAAATGAGATATTGCTCTCAGTGAACGGCGTGCTCAGTTCTCAGATTACCAGTGAAGCAGCTAATGATTTTTGACACTTACACGGTTGTCATTGTCCGCTCAAGTAGACGCCGTACAGAAAACCAGGAGGCTCCTCGCCCGACAGCTGTTGTCTCAAGGTCTCTGCAAGCTCCCCGGCCTCATGGTTTGGTTCCAGTTTGCTGACATTTATACCCGTGTGCTAACTGCTTCAGCCACAGACAGTACATCTGTTGTACGTACATTTATAGGTGATGGGCAAGTGCAAAGGGCAAGAGTCAGACCCAGAGGGCAGAGCACGTTACCCCCACAGTGGCCAGCAGCAGCTGGCCCAGCTCAAGAGCTGGGCTGGAGTGGCAGCAGCTTTAAGCTCTTAATTTATCCCTGCTGCCTGCCCTAAGCCACACCACTGTTGCAGGTGCTGTAAGCTAATTCATCAGGCCGTGGGTGGCTGCTGAAGAGGCGAAGTGTGTTTGTTTCTTCTCTCCCTTACGTGTCTGGAGGTGACACGCGCGGCCAGAGGGCTCAGGTGGCTTCAGTCACCACAGGTCAGTCTGCCAGAGGGGGATTTAACTTCTGAGAGGGATTGCCAGGCTTCTGGTGCTAACTGTGGTGTGTATGGCATGTGGCTGTGCCCGTCCTCCTGAGCTGGGGGCTTATGTGGCCTCCAAGTGATGATGAAGAAAGAGGGAACAAATTGCAACTAGAAATGTACCCCTATCAGTTACCATCACTTAGTTCTAATGCTATAGCGGTAATGTAAAGCTTTTTTCCTTCTTTTTTTTTTTTTTTTTTCTTTTTTCTGACTATATCATGGGTAAAGTGCTTTGTCAAGGGAAAATGAGGTTTCCCCGATGTGCCAGGGCAGGGACCCAAAGCTGTCTTTCATCACTGTGCTGAATCCTGGGTGGAAAGTCTGAGACGGCGTCGCTCAGAACAGCAAGAAGGGCTTTGCCTCTGTTATTCTGAGACCTCCAGAAGTACAGTTTGCGTTTGATTTGTGAATTTTGAACAATATTGACTGAGGCTTTGGTTAAGAGCTGTTGGAATTATTCTCTGTAGAGATTTCTCAGGCAGCAGATGCATGAGAGGGATGTATGTGCGTGTATTTGCAGCTTTTTTTATTCAGCTTATGAATAAGAGCTGGGATCATGAGAAGTGATAACTATTAAAATCAGTAACGAAGACAGTATTAGCCTATAAGAGGTGAAGTGGGTTTGGGGAGTTTTGCATGCATTTCCTAGCTCTGCTCCTCTCTTTCTGACAGGGAGAAGTAGCTTGGTTCCTGTCTGCTTTCCTCTCCCATCCGTATAAGGATAGTAAGAGAGCTGCGAAGTTATCTGTTATAGAAAATAGTGATTAAAGTATTTCATTTTGTGCAGAAACTGGCATTGTGAAACTTTGCATTCATTTTCAGAGAAACCTAAAGATTAACAAGTTTTACTTCTGGTGCTTTTTTTTCTTTTTTTTCTTTTTATCATGTTGCTTGTCCTTTCTGTGACAAAATGGGAATGGGGAAGGGCAGGAAAAAAGAAAACAAGGTGATCCAGAGATTCTCTCTTCTCACATAAAAACTGCCCATTAAAAATGACTGTACATCTTGCATAAATTGCAAAACAGATAATTTTTAAACTTTCAGAATGTGAAAAAGTTATTGCTGTTGAATGCCCTGAGTTGTTTTAAAGGTGAGGTTTCTTGCTTGCACTGCTGTGTCTAGGGCAAAACCTTGAGACCTCTCTGGCAGGAGGAACCTAAGTGTAGGTGAGCCACTGGCCAGACTCGTGCATAGTAAAGCTACTGCTAATCCAATGCTTGCTTTGGCTTTGTAAAATGACACGTTCCCCACCTCGCTTGTAATGGGTGTGAGCTGCATCCTTGGCAGATGTTACACTTGCTGACAGAACTGGCAGATTAGAAATGAGGAACTGAATGGTCGTGGATGTGCTTGTGCTGGATGTTTGGATGGTTCGCCTGGGTAGCACGTGGCAGGAGTGGTAAGGCAGATACGACGTGCAGGCATTTTGTGCCTGGATAACATGGAATGATGCAATGGCAGTGCTTTGCCTCTATTTTAGCTTCAGTGCCCAGCATAAGGAGGTCTTGAGCTGAACAGAGACCTGTCTGCAGCTGTTTCTTTTCTGAAGAAGCAGTGCGTGGCACTCGTATGCGGAGACCCAACTCCCCCAGTAGCACATTCAAAAATAAATACATTCCAAAGCAGTATGTTTAAGCAACATGAACTTCCTTTTTTGATCGTGTGTGGAAGGTTTATTTTCACATCCTCCAACACTCGGTAGGTGCTAATTTTCAGATGTTTGAAATGTCAAAGTATATAAGAGCTGTAGCGGACCCGGTCCTTTCATGCTGTATGGCATGAAGCAGCCCCTGAGCACAGGAGGGTAGGAGGAAGCTTCTCCTGGGAACTGGCTGTTCTGTAATTGCCATCTTGAACTGTTTCTGGCACCTTTCCCTGGCAATTGTCGATGACAGGATGTTACAGTTTATGGCTGTCTGACCCCACTCGTTTTCTCATGTTCTGCAGCAGGGGTTTGGGCAATCCTGCTGCCTGTCCAGGTAACCCCTGCAGATGCTAGGGAGATACAGGTGGACACGGTGCTATACAGATGGCATGTATTGCAGGATTTATTACTGACTCCTCAAACTGACCTGTACCATTTATAACCTTTGTGGCTGCAAAGTACATCGAAGAGTAACATTTCAGAGGAGCTAAAAATAATATTCTCAGTTTAAAGCTATTTCTCTCCCAAGCATTCAGTCAATAAGAAGACAAGGAATCAGTTTGTCCTTTCTTTCCCATGCTTAAATGTTCAGCTTTCAGAACGGAGCTGTAAGTTTATCACAAGTTATTGGCTTGTTAGTGGAGTTGGCTTTAGAATATGGATTATGTTACTGGAAAGTGTAATCACTTGCCAGAACTGCCTTTGCTGTTCCATTTCCCTTTCCATGTCCCAATTTTGTAAGTTATCTGGTAGCTGCACTGAAGGCCAAACTCTTACTGAACTGATTAGAACCAGGAGTTGGCATTCTGCTCCTCTGTCTCCTTCTGCCAAAAGCCAGTAGGCAAAAGAAAGAATATACATTTTTTACTATGTACACGAATACAGTTTACAGTCATTTAAAGCACCTGAAGATGAGTACATCAAAGCTCTGATTCTCCTAGTGTCACGGTGTGACCACACTGTGGATAATATTCCGTACATTCAACAAGCCTCCATCCCAGGAAGGGGATAAGTGATGGTGGCTTTTAGAAATGAGTAATTAAATGCCTTTTTTTTTTTTTTTCCTTTTAAGATGTGGTTGGAAATGACTCATTTGGAAAACTTCAAACTAACCAGATACATGTAAACCAGAATTCAGATGTTTAGGACTAACAGTATAAATGCCTAGGGGTATTCAATAGTCCTGAGTATTAGGTGTACAATACTGAAAGAGCTGCCTTAGTTAGTCCTCTGCTTGAGATCTCGGTCTTTTACTGTGCGCATTTTTTATTGATCAAGAATAATGGCAATTGATTAAGTGTGCCAGTCTGTTGTTTCTTCTCCTGTGAATAGAAAACCAGCTGTGTGTATCAAATCTGTGAATCACACCTCTGAACTAGATCGTTTTTAGAAAGGGAGAGAATAAATTACACAACCTTTTTTTCCAAAGTCTTCCTAGAGACCATAGATCTTCATAAAATCAAGTTGAAATTAAGCAAATACTTTCAGTCTGTGAAAGGGTTATATGCAAGTTTGTAAACATCAAGATATTTGATTCCAGAATTTCTTCATGGAACGTGATTTTGTTTTAGAAATGCCAAAGCCACTCCTTTCAGCATTTAAAAACTAAAACCACATTGTTCTGTTAAAATTAGATCCAAACATTTTATAAAAAGAGTTGGGTTTGTTGGGTTTTCTTTTGAAAAGTTAGGAAATGTAATAAATAAATAAATAAATAAAAAGTTTCAGGTTGAAGATAACTTTGGGGCATTGATCTGAAGAAACATATTTGCATTGTTTTGTTTCATGAAAAAGAAATCTTCCAGTTCAACATGAGGCAATTTTTCCCTTCTGCTTTTTGGTTTTCTTCTTAATCACAGTTGTTTTGTTTTTGATTTGTCACCAAAACTGCAAAATCTGCTGGTCATCTTGGTGTGTTCTTTCAGATGATACTGACACAGTCACTCTTCCTGGTGTATGCTAGCGTCATGTGTGTGATTCCTCACTGGAGGAGTTTGGGGTTTGTCTCGCAGGAGAATGACCATTAGGGCTTCACTACCACTACTGCTGCTGAGCTGCTTTTGTCACCTGCAGGTGCAGGTAAGCCTCTTGTTGCTGTTTCCCCATTTGGCTCCGTAGTTTCTGAACACTCTCAGCTGCAAGTTAAGGAATTAAACATGAGTGCTCACGGTTATCGTTAAACATTTTATTTCCTAAGTCTCTTTGACTGTGTCCCGGTGACTGCAGTTGAGGATTAAGAGTAGTGCCTTCAGCACCGTCAGTAAGCTGTGTTTGAGACCTCCAGCGACAGTGTTTATATTTTCCCTCTCTTGCCTGCATCCCTCGCATGATACCTTGCTCGGTGAGCAGCTCTCTCCTCCCCATCCCAAGTGATGCTATTGCTGAGGAATGTTGGACGGAGACCATTATACACATACTGGAGGTGCTGCTGGATTTGGGGTTTGAGCTTGATTTCAAAGGGAGGAGATGCAGGAAGGAAATGTTGTTTTTAGTGGGGACCCAGGCCTTAGCGCTTTGCAGAACTGTTTTAAACACACTCCTCAGGCAGGGAGGTCTGTGAGAGCAGGGGAGGGCTCGGCGAGCTTTGCAAATGTTTCCATGCGCCGCTCGAGGCTGTTGTCCCAGGCACGTACTTCATTAATGCTGCTGGGGAAGGCATTTTGGAAATAATCAATCAGTGTCGTTCTGCATTTCTTCTCTGTTGGCGCTGTTCTGTCTTGTTTCAGTGCTGCTCATTTTGGTTTTAATTTCTGAACGAGGGATCGATCTGCACAGACCAGCACCAGGCAGAAGAGTTTGGTGGTGCGATGGGCTAAGCCACCTTGCCCCGTGTCTCTACAGCACTAAAACAGTTGTTTGGAGTCATGGGTCCTGAAGAAGCTGGTGGTGCTTGGGTTTTTCTGAAGTGTGCTCTGAGCATCTCAGTGGTTTCCTAGGTCAGGATGAAGTTGTGCTCCTGGATGCTGTGAGCTCTCCTTCGGAGCATTCCTTCTCTCAGTTCTGCAGGGTGTTAGATCACAGACCTGCCACTTATCACACCTTCCTTCTGTCTTTCCTCTTCCCTCTGCCTCCACATTCTTTGATGCAACTGAGCTCTGCTGCAAGTGAC